CCTGGATTTGAACTGGCATTATAAGCTTGTCTATGAGAGTGAGAAGAATATAAAACGGGTCTTTTAATCATGTGGTAGGGTCAAAAAACAGAACAATCACCTCCCATATCAAATCCTTCGTTACGGAGGCATTACGGTGAGCGTGGAGCCGGCGCTAAAGATACTAATACAATTGGGCAGATGACGAGGAAAACGCCTACATCTTGGCGGCGTTCGACGTGCCAACCACAGCTCTGGGATCTGATGCCAACTCTATTTAAAGTATGCACAAGGCTAACTTTCACTCGTCTGTCTTGACCTACCTCTTTCGTCTGCCTATATCGGCCTATCTCCTTCATCTGCCTGCCTTGCCCTACTTCATCGGTCCAACTATTCGTCGTTCGGTGAAATCCAACACTGACAAGCCCCCAGTATCCGGGAAGAATCCCCGAATCAACGCAATGGCATCATGTAAATCTTCAAAAGACCGAGAACACAAACTAGGGGAGATATTTACCGAAGTCCATCGCAGCCGACGGCTTGATCAACCCTCTCCCACGATTCGCGACTGCGCTATTGAGCCATACCTCCGGAGAGTAGGACAGCCGTGACTGTGTGCTTAGCGAAGTATGGAAATCTCGGGGCCTTCCCCGAGATGGTTACGGATGATTGTCGAGGATGGTAAGTCGCCAGAGAAGATGTCTTCAAATGAAAAAGAAAGGAGAGAGAAACCCAAATCACCCAGAAAAGGCAGCAGGATGCTTGTCATCAGATCCCTATCCCAAGCTGTGTTGACGCCAATGCAACTTGTTCAGCCGACTTCATGTCTCTCCCGATGCTCCTCCTTGAGAAGCGCGATGAGGCGCCCAGATGCCTTGTTCAATGCCCTGTTCAATGCCCTGTTAAGTACAAGTTCCATGGTGTTGGCCTTCCTCTGTTATCTCCGTTGAGGCGTCATCTCCAGGGGTTGGTGGTGGAATGAGACGGTTGCGGGGACGCGGCGGGCCGCTGCGGGGCACCACGGGGACTTAAGCCCACCCCGGGCTAGCTCCTTTTTTGGTGAGATTTCCTCGACTCTCGGCACATGCATGGTAACATCGGCCTCCAACAGACGGCCCCATCATCACCCTTCCTTTGTATCAAATCCTCATTAGAGCCAAGCCTGCAAATGTCGCCCCTACCGGCAATAATAAACGCCGCCGCCGAGTGGATAGATGGGACCGTCCCATTCAGGCACCAGGAGCTGGTTAGGGGTGTGAAACAGGAAGATCCCTGCAGAGTTGGCGGCGTTGAGAGCCGCTGTCGTCCGCTGTGGTCCTAGTTCTTCCAGTGGTCCCTGCTGATCATCTTGCGACCAGTTTGAATCGGCTTGCT